TCAATCCATCCCGATCCTCGTTGACTCTCTTCGTAGGGGGGAATAGAAGAGCAAGTCATTCAGATCCACCGCGTAATCCGTAGCGATAATGCTGTAGGATTTGGCATCCTCCCGACTCAGGTCTCGTACATCCCCATCAGATACTTCTTTAGTCCTAGGATCCACGCTTCCTCCTTCTGTGCTTTGAGGATCCGCTCGATGCGGACTCTCTTCACTCCTCGAGAATCTGGGGGTTGGATCCAATCCTTCCTCTGGACCTAGTGACGGCCATCACCTGGACTGTCCTTTTCCCGGATCCCACTACCACCACTTCGTCTAGTCGGTTCAACGTAACGAGATCCTGATGCTCGGCCTCTCTCTCCACTTCAACACCACATTGATTCCGTAAAGCGGCGCTGGCCAAGCTATCTGCACTGGCATTCCAATCTCGCTTGACATGCACCAACTCGTGATTCATCTAAGCCACGCAGGTGGACCATCACTTTCTGCCGTAACAGTGTTAGGGCCGGGGCGTTGAAGTCAATCTCACCTCGCACCTGTCTGATCACCAAATTTGAATCCCCACAAATCACCAGCCTTTTCGGATCCTGTCCCGTTAGTAGATCCAAACCCAGCAGTAGACGGTTCTACTCCGCTTCGTTGACGGTGAGGCCTTCCGCATAAGTGGATCTGGCCCGTACAACTTCCCATCCAGGTAGTCTCCACAGTATCGCACTGTACGCCCCGCCTCCGCGTCGTACGCGAGCGTATCCATCGAAACTCAGGACGTACAGATCCTCATCTGCCTGTACCGTCGGGATCGGGATCTGGATCCGGCGTTTGGGCTCTTTCTTAGAAACGACCCTAGTCAGCGCCTCATCCATCTTAGCTCGAGGAGTGATGCTCGCGGCCAAGACTCCCAGGATCTCGTCTTCCCCTTTCGAACATTTCACAATCTCCAGTGTCCAAGGCGAGAGTAAAGCTGCCCACTGTCCCAAACGTCCTTGTAACCCGGCCGACTTGAACAGCCAGGCTAGCGTAGAGTGTCGGGTCAGGATCCGGATGGATCTTCCCACCAGCAGGTTGTAATTCAGATCCAACACGCGCAGGAGCGCGAGTATCTCTTTCTCCACCGCTCCGTAGTTCAGTTCATTCGGCTTCAGTGTCCGGCTGACGAAGGTGACTGGATGACAGATCCCCTCATGTTCTTGTACCAGAGCTGCTGAGACTGCCCAGTCGCTGGCATAAACTATTACCGTAGGTTGACGCTCTGGATCGAAATGACGGAGGATAGGCGTGGTCGCGATCCTGTTCCTCAGTTCCACGAATGCGTGTTGAGCTCGGATCCACCGAGATTCTGCCCTTTCCATGTTCTGATCCGTCGTCTCTATCCAGACTGGATCCTCTCTCCGTTGGTCCCGGGGTGGATCCAGCTCCTGTTTCAGGTCCTCTTCTGGCGTCGTACCACTTGGATTCCTTCGTGGATCCGACATCTCCCGGGCCAGAGCTTGTTGGATTTTTATCCGGACAGCTGGAGTGGTCATCGCAGCGAAATCTACCTCTCTCAATTCATACAATACCGCGGCAAACAGGGCGTAATCCTCGATGAACCGACTGTAGTAGTTCAAACTGCCCTTGAAGGATTGCATCGCCCATAATGACTGCGGGAAGGACAAATCGGCTAACGAAGACAGGTCTTTAGGATTCGCCTCCAGTCCCTCCTTGGAAACTCGATGGCTTAAGTAATCCACCTTGCGCATCCCCTATAGCTCTTCACCACGCTGGTAGAGAGATTCCACTTAGTACACGCCTCCAGTAGGGATGTCACTCTTTCGCACAACTGATCCACGATTTCGCCGGGATCAGAATGTCGTCGATATAGGATCTGCGTCCTAACACGGGATAGAGTCCCGCATCCCCTGACTATCCTGCTTTGAATGGATCCACTTCCGTATGATCTTCCCCCTGCTCCACCTCTTTCGGGTTCTGGTATTCGGGTGAATCCGTAGAGGGCATTATCGATCAGGCGTTGATAGATCTGGGGCGCATTCTTCAATCCGAACGGCATCCGGCTCCATTCGAACAGTCCAAACGGTGTGATGAATGCGGATATTGCGCGAGCTCGATCCGTCATAGTCACCACCCAGAAACCACTTGTAACGGGGTTACATGATGTGGAACACACAGGGGTACGGAGTACCCGGAGAGTTAAACTTGGGCAGTCACGGTCCCGGAGGTGTGGCAGAAGCGCTTGAAGCGCCGACGTATGCTGTCGTTTGCAGCGCCAGACTGAAGCCAGCCGACGCAGATCGAGCCACGGAAGTGGAAGGCGCAGAGGAGGAGCTGGAACCGGAGAACTTGGACCCGAACGGGAACCCTCTCGGCAGTAACGTGATGGCGCCGACCGCCGAAATGTTCGCGGACTACGAGACCGACCACATGGCGCACACTGAAGAAGACGTGTACGAGTTGCGCTTGGTACAGACGGACGAGTTCGGCGAGTGGGGACGTCGTGGAGTGTTTCGTGTCCACTTTGAGCGCTACGAGGTGGTGCTCAGTGTGAAGCTCATGTATCTGTACGACTCGTCTCTGATGAAGGAGGAAGTGGCGTCGACGTCTCCGGAGTGGAACAAGAAGAAGCGTCCGTATTTAGCCAAAATCTGACTTGACCACGGGAATGCGCGCATAAAAGCACCCCTAAGGCAGTTTTTATACGGAGCAGTCTCATTTGCTTCCTGGATGTGCAGGGCCAAACATGGCCAAAAGTGGTGATTTTGGCCGTCCAAGGTGTCCATTTTCCGCGAAAATGGCGTTTTTTGGCGTCACTAAAAAAATCATTGCGAAGCAACTACTGGAGATATGCTTGTAAAACTTTGGGAGCGGTCGTGCGAACACATGCGCCAAGTTTTCTGCTAAAGTCTGCAGGCCAGATCTGCCGGGCGGCACATAAAACCGGAAAAAACCACCTAAAAAAAGAGCATGCCAAACAAAGTCTCACATTTCGCTGAATAACTTTTGATCTAGAAGAGTTAGACAAATTCTGATTGCGGGAACGGCTCCGCCGTGTGTTTTTACATATGTCTATGTCCCGTAGATAAAAAGTACATGTTGCAAAAAAAGTACATGTTGTACATAAATCTACCTTTGATATTCGGATTCCTCGTGAAAAACTACGCCTAGGCCGCAGGGGTAACAAAAGACGAGTCATTGCACTTATGCCCTTTTATAGACGCTTTTAGAAATCGGCCGAAACGGGATTTATTAGTTTTAAACGGGATCCACTGAGATGGCGACAGGCTGCGATATGTACCAAACGAAGGAGCACCGCAAGACACCCCGAGAAAAACATTTAATACCATTGGTAAGGGGATGGTCTGTCCATCTTCAAGATAGATCAAAATAAAAGAAAATCAGCA